TTCTCATTTAATTTAATGAAAATCTTTTTTTCTTGTTATTCATTCGTTGATGAATTATTTATTGTGATATTTTTTTATTGCTTACAATTTTGAAAGTTTCATAAGCTTTTATTATTAGTTTTCTTATAGCATTATAACCTAATGCTTATATTTTTAAAATTATTTACTAAAAAACTTTAATTTATATATTTTCTTTTAGTTTTAATAACTATTATTTGCAAAATAAGCTTAAATTGAGAATATTCGCAGAAGTTTTATAATTTATAAATAAAAATCAATTGTAAAATTGTTAAGAAATATTATGTGTAAGTTTTTGTCACATTAATTAATGAATAATTTAGTCATATTTTAAATATTTCTTTTTTAAATAATATTATTGATTATAAAAATATTAAATAATTATTTAAAATCTCAGATTTAATGACACATTATATAATATATAATTTTTAAAATCATTGCCAAATTAGCCAAGTGTATACTTTTTGATAACAATTATACTGTACTAAAGTTATATTACTCGGTATTTATTATTTAAATTGTTGTTAATTTTTCATAATAACCACATTTCAATGTCTTAAGACATTTCATGTGATTTTAAATTCTATATGTAATTGAATTTTATGAATGAGAATAATTACCAAATATAATAGATGTAAATAATGAGTTATCTCATAAATTCCTTTCTTCGATAATAATTTAATATAACAATGAAATGACATAAAACTGAAGTTAATTTATATTAATAATTAATAATCAAAAGTAACAGCAATTTTCCATTATTTAAACAGCTTTTATTGCTTAATCAAAATTAATAGACTTATTATTAATGTATTGAAGCACTAATAATGAAGAATCTATGTTATTATAACTTATAGTGCATTGAAAGCAATTATAATCAATTACATGAAATATTGAACATAAAAGTATAGACTTTTCTTATGGCTGTTTGTGTAGACTTTACATATGCGCTAATGTTGGCCATCACTTGCATTCTTCTCATTCATAAGATTAATGACTTGTAATCAGAAATATAATAATATCCACAATATTTGCATACATCGTATGATAGGGACAAAAAACAACTTTTAATCATTTTATACAAATCAAAATATTTAATCAATTTGGATTTATATTAATGGATATTTTTAAAAAACAAAATATTTCATAGTATGTCAATATATTTATTATTTATAGTGTATTATTTATCAAATTTGGTCGATTACAGTGGTTTTCATTTTTATTATTTCATTGAAAATTCTATACTTATTTTTATAGCTATTTATAAAACATTTAAATAAATAATAACGTTTGGAGAACAGAAATGGTAGGACTAATACATTTTATACCCATTTGTACTAATTTAAGAAACTTATATAAAATGGATATAACTTACAAAAGAAAGTCTACTTATTAAGCTTACAATTGACCAAATTGTCAAATAAAAATAATATAAATTTTCTAAAAATCAAAATATAGCAAATCTGAGAAATTATTTTTTCAGTTTTTAATTCTAAACAATTTAATGTATAAACTATTAAAATTGAATAAGTAAATTTTAAATGGCGAACATGTTAAACTTTAAATTTTCTTTATATTATTACCTTTATCTTACACACTATATCATTTATTAGAAAATTGTCGAGACACGTATAAAGTTATTTTTGACCATGAACATTTTGGTGTACTGTATATTGTTTATATTAAAGAAGACTTTTTTGTTTAACAATACGCTTAAATGCCACTTTGATTTAAAATTATTCATATACCCAGGTACATTTAAGAAATTTTGTCAATTGCTTTTTTTCTTCGATACATATCTGGTTATAAGTTCCTGAAGTCAGAATGACGATTACATAATTGGTCTTGGTGCTACAGACCCCGATAGGTGTCAAATAGTAGTGAATACTGGTGTATACAGTAGTGGTGAATGACGATTACATAATGGTGTATTGTAGTACAATAATTGTACATAAATGAAAGAAATTGAAAAATATTCATGGTGCTCTAGAGGTTATTATATTTAGTGAATATATATTTAATACTGCATTAAAAATTGTATAAATTTTAAACATAATAAATATTTAAATGTAAAATGTTTAAAATTTTAGTAAAATAAAGTTATGTAAAATACTAACGAAATCGTAAGTTATTTATACAATAAAAAAGATAAATGTGATATAATTTTGTGACAAGGAAATTTTACTATTTAACATTATAAAAGTATTCAAACTAATTATTAGTTACAAATGCATTAAAAGTGATATAAATAACAAATAATAAACACGAATATGAATATTGATTGCATAGAAATGGTTTGACAACTGATTGGCAATAAGTGTTTGAATGATTCAAAAATAGCGCCCAAAGTGTTGGCAGTGTTTGAGTGTTGTGTTGGAGAGAGAGTTGTCGTCGAGTCGTAAGTCGTGTCACATTTGGTTCACAAAAAGCGCCGACACTTTGAATGCGTCCGTAATTTAGGCATTGATTTGCGTTCAAAACCATTGATTCACTCATCGATTGAGACATTAAGACATTGTCTCTCATTGTCGCACATCTCCATCACTGGACTCTTCATTTGATTCACCAAAAGTAATCGATTCAATCGTTTGGACTCAAGATGTTTGTCGAGTCGTTAGGTTTCGGCGATTTGGCCAAAATGTCCAAAAGGCAGGTCAGTATCACCTCTAGTGAGTCCATCCGTATATGCATTGACCGGTTTATTGTCCATTAGTTGTTATATCAAGTGCTCAACTTCGGGATGATTGTGTCCTCAGCGCTGATGATCTGGAAGGGACTGATGGTCGTCACCGGCAGTGAGTCTCCCATCGTTGTCGTCCTCAGGTATACCACGTGTTTCTTCGCCCGACAACTAATTGACTAATGAATTGAACGCTTTGTTTGCAGCGGAAGTATGGAACCGGCTTTCCATAGGGGAGACCTCCTCTTCCTCACCAACTATAAAGAGGATCCCATAAGAGTGGGTGATATCGTTGTGTTCAAAGTGGAGGGACGGGACATACCTATCGTTCATCGAGTGCTTAAACTTCACGAAAAGTAATTGATTTGTTGTGTAATTGGGATGTGATTTACGAATTGGTTTGCATTGATAGAGACGACGGTTCGGTCAAGATATTGACAAAAGGGGACAATAATTCTGTGGACGACAGAGGACTGTACGCTCCCGGACAGCTCTGGCTCCAGAAGAAGGACATTGTGGGCCGCGCCAGAGGGTATGTATCACTCGATCGCTCACTCTTTGTCTTAATCTGACGTGTGATATGTTTGCATAGATTTGTTCCATACGTTGGAATCGTTACGATACTTATGAATGATTACCCGAAGTTTAAGGTAAATTAGACATTGAATTGATGCCATTATATGACAAACTGATTGATTGTGATGTCTGTTGTGTCCTATAGTACGCTGTGTTGGGTTGTCTCGGATTATTTGTTTTGGTTCACAGAGAGTGAGTCCCAAACGGCCTGTCCTTCCGAAATAGTGCCGCAAAAGCATTAATTTAATTATTAAATTGATTATTATATATAAGTATTGTATGTAATAAGAGATTATATACACTATCTATACATTAATTATAAATACATTTTCCATACAATCCTTCAAATGTTTTGAAAAAGTTTGTTATTTTTAAACTAAATTTAAGTGCTTTTTACCACAATTTTTAAGTCAATTATAAAACAACAAAAACTGATCGCAAAATATAAACGACAAATGTTTTTGAAAATTATCTTTAAATTGTTTATCGAAACCAAAAACAGCTCTAAATGTAAATGAATTGTCAAATTGAAAACGGATTCAAACCAAGAGTTGAGTGAATAGACCAAAGAAGTGAAGCCAAGGGATGAGTCGGTGATGCCATCTGCGGGAGGAATGGGTGCGCAAAATGTTTGCCACAAAACAAAACATTGATTGCGAGATAAGAGTAACAAAAACAGTGCAAACCATCACTCGTTGCGAAAGACATGACTCAATGAGACACACATTTGACGCCACAAACAGAGACTGCGAGACACTCTTCGCCACTATTTTGGGGCCAAAAAGCAAAAGTGCAATAAAATTGTGGCCAAAATCGGGTCCAGAAGACAATGAATCAGATGTATAGCAATCAGTCGTCGCAATCGGGATCCATGGAAATGGTGTCTTCGGGACCGAACACCGACTGCTCGCTCACCACCGATGAGGACGACTCCGACGGCCAGAAGTCTTCGCTGTCCTATAAGGAGAGGAGACGTGAGGCTCACACACAGGCCGAGCAGAAGAGGAGGGACGCCATCAAAAGGGGTTACGAAGATCTGCAGCATTTGGTTCCCGCGTGCAGTCAATACGACTCCACAACCAGTTATAAGTTGTCGAAAGCGGCGATACTCTCGCGATCTATTGAACACATGAATCATTTGGCGAAAGACATGTCCACTCAGGAGAAGGAACTCCAGAGACTACGCAAAGAAGTGGTCGCCAATCAGATAATGAAAAACAATTACGAAAAGATGGTTAAAGCGCACCAACAGTCACAACCCGGCCATCAGAGCGATCAGATCAGCGATTCCGTCAAACTGGCCGTCTTTGAGGGCATTTTTGACAATCTGTTCCAGTCGTTCGACAAGTCGGTCGAAGTGGCAGACTTTAATCAACTCAGCGATTGTACCATCAATTGGGTTGAGAAACACTGCAAACCCGAGACATTACAACAGATGGTCGTCCAGATTATGAAACAAAACCATATCACCAACTGATCCACTGATCCAACCACTCATTCAATAGTCATCGCTTCAAAACAACACTATTACTCTTTTTGCTGCAATTTTTTATGATCACAAGTTGTGTTCAGATTTCACATTATTTATACAAATTATGCATTTCTTTAATAAATGCCTATAACTTAAAGAAATGATAATTTGAAGCCTTTATTAACAAATTGTTTCAATTATTAAAATGAATGGACTTTTGATGAAATTCATTGAAATTCTATCATAATGTTAACGAATCTTTGACTTTAATTCGTGAGATTCTTGTTATTCTTGAGATATATCTTACAAATAATGCCTTTAAATATAGAGATAATTATTCTTTTATAGCAATTATATGTTTTTATGAATCAATTGTTTTAAATGCAAATTAAGTTTTTATTATTGACTGTTTTAATCATAATAATAAATTATATTGTTATGTAATATTGTGTATTTGATCATAATTTTTATGAATAGTTCCAATGTTTAAACCATTACTACTTGTAATTAACAATAATATTCATTTGATTACAAAGATATTTGATTATTAATAACTGATATTTTGATTGTGCCGTAAATATATCGTTGGTTTCAATGTATGGCTTAAAAATAAACTAAAGATTTGAAAGCAATGGAAGTTTTGTTAGCAATTAGTTTTGTGGGTCTATTGGAAAGTACAGTAACATATTATAAGTGCTATAAATACTATAATTTTGTCATCATTTTACACTAATATTCACTTATAGTGTAAGTGCACTATAAGTCTTATAACTTATACAATGTCTTTATGATAAGTCGATTCAAATACAGTATATTTTTGAAACATTTAATGATTACAAGATTTGGCGGACGATTACTAAGAAAGAGATGTAATTCTCTTCTATTCATTGGTTTGTCCTTCAGTTTGGTTATAAAGTTTTGTCAAATGAAGTATTCAGTCGATAATTGATGCCTTATTAATGATATTTACGATTTAATAGCACTT